GGAGGGGGGGTTTGCTGGAAGTGCCAGTAGATGAAGGATTACTTGGATTAAGATTTCAGTTAGATAAGAGTCCCATGATCCAGAGAATGCTGGACTTCTCCACTAGGATGTTCATCTATACAATACAATAAATCATTTTTAAACTTTTTTTTTTGTAGTTTTGTGTTTGTAGGAAAAGAAAACTCAGCTAGCACAGGAAATTACATTATCATGATCTTCCCTCAGTAATATGTGTGTATTGTCATTCTGTAAGATGTAAATCATGGGGAAAAAAACAAATAAAAACAAGCAAATTATTCTACATAACATCAGACTGTATATATGCTGCTTAAATTTTGGCACCCCAACTTAAAACACTTTTTTCCACTAAGACGTAAAGTGTAGATGAACATCTTTGATTATAGAAAGGTCAACACCTCCTTGATCTACTGTACAAGTAATTTTTTTATTTGTAATAATTTCATAAATAACCTGCTTTGACATCGTACACATTGAGAAGTCTGTTACTCAGTGATCTTGCAACACTACTAACATTTCATGTTGCCAATGTACCTTTTTATGGGACCTAAGTGACCAAAGCTTAGACTTTGCTAAATAACACTTCAGGTGTTGTCCAAATGTCTCAAGGGCAACCTTAGACTATGAGTTAGCACATTTCCGCATTTTCTTGTTTGTTTTCAAAGAAGGTGCCACTCCGCTTACATCCATCCTTCACGTGAAGGTCTCCTTCAGCGGTTTGTGTGCTTCAGGAAACTGTTTCAAGTCAGAACATGCTCGGTTGTGTGTCTCTAACCATGGACACTGCAAACATGTGCAGTAGCTTATAGACAACGTGCCTTATAGGCAGCTCGCTCAGGTTCTGTTTTCTTCACCTTCTCCACCCCTCGCAGAGGGAAAACACAGCCTCAGAATCACCCTAAACACCCCTGCGTTTGCTTTTGTCCCTCACCTCACCTCCCCGCTGCTATGGGTGGGCTGAGCGGAATGGTGTTTGTGGTCATGATGAGGAATGAACCTCACCACATTAAAATCTCAGCTTTATTAGTACAAGGACATGCATCAGAGGGGAGTCTCAACCCCCTGAGTGCATATGTGTGTGAGTTGAATCAACAGCACCTTTGCAAGTTAATTACCTCTGTGGTTTGCTTGAGTAAAGTCTGGCTCCCACACACATGGCTGAATTTCCTCTAGTTTAAGCGGAGTAGATGAGTGCTCCCTGTCTGCAACTGTTTTTTCACCTCAAATTGTGTGACAGCAAACTTAAACAATAATTAAACTATTTTAAGTTAATTTATGCTCTGTTTTAGCTGCTGAATGGCCAAGCACTCACCCTTTGCCTTTTTTGAATAATTCATATTTAATGGCCATTTTCTGGGCCATTTCTCACCCAGTCACTGTAACTGAAATGTGGAGTGAAAAACAAACCAAGTTTCTCCTAAAAAGGACAAAAATTAATATTATATTAAAATAGATTTGTATTAACTTAGTAGTAAAATAGTAAAATATGTTATAGATAATCAGTTACAGTCCAGTCATCTGTAGCATTAAAGATCCAGTTTTATCCAATAGTTGAATGTAGCATGGCATAAATAGTGTGCCTTATGCAGAATTTGAATAAAAGAAATTCATAAGCATGTAAATATTGTATGCTTGCCATTTAACTGTCTGTGTCCAGTCAGTTCAGATAGGGATTTTTTTTGCATAACTGAAGGATTAAGATGTAAATTAAGTCGTTCAGAGCAGTTTGATATGAAGTGCTCTGTTCTGGAGAAACCTAGCTATCAAGTCAGAATTGTTCTCAGCGGTGGTGACGTACACTTTGTTTAGATTTACGACTACTTTACCATCATTAACTATACATATAAAACTCAGAAGACGTGTAGGTTCACTGGTCACTAGTCAGTAAATAGAATGGCTATATAGGTGTTGTAGACATTGTGACCCTTGGTTCCTAACACCACTGTAAAGCAAATTTGTGTATATAGCACATTTCATACTAAAAGCCAATGTGTCGATATGCAGAACAAGTGTAAAGAAATCTCTGGCAGTCTTTTTCTTCACAAAACACCATTTTATATCAAACTACAACTGAATTATGCAGAAATTATGAAAAATCAGTGGAACTTCCTTTAAACTAGAGTGTAATACCACCACATCAACATGCAAGACTGTCATTTTTCTTCAGGTCTAACATTCAGGGTTTGTGACCCAAAACAGGACCCTTTATTTGTTAACAAAGAATATCGGCCCTAAATGGAAGCCACTAATGACTTTTGCCCCAGTCTCCTGCCACCCCATCCATGCCTTTGTGGTATACTGCGGAGTTACCATGGCACCTGGCGGGGTATTCATGTTGTATGTGACAAAGGTCTTAATGTCCGGAGAGCTGCCTCATGTTACAATGAACACAGAGTCTTTTCCCCCGGAGAGAGGGGAAGTTACATTTACCCCACGGTTGCAGTCACGCCCTGCCACCCGCTGAATTAGAACTTTAATTCCAAGTCTTTGTGAGATGTTTTCCCACCTGCTTCTGAAATCAGAGAGAACTCAAACTGAAACCTAGTTGCATGTTTTTAAAACATTTGGCCTGTGATGTGTTAATGTGTTCGAATCAAGGAAGATTTTGTCTACGCAGTTTGTTTATTTGTTACATTTCACAAGTTATGTAAACATCTTTAGTGTTTTATTTGTGCTGTCTTATCTCCTCCAGTGATATGAAGACACACATACAGATGATTCAGAGTTGAGAGAGTTTTATATGGAGTATGTTATCACTGTCCAGAAAAAAAAAACATGTTCAAAGTACTAAGTTTACAAGAGTAAGGAAGGAAGGAAAAACCGTTCTTAAATTTTAATGTAAGTTAATGTAGACATATTTTATATCCCAAGTAATTTTGGAGCATTTCTATTGGTCCATTTGTAATAAAATTACATTATGTAATTTTCTTTTGGACAGTGATGATGTGTTTTATTCTTTCCTCTGTTTCCTCTTTCAGAGTCCAGACAGGATTTGCCCCTGGGAAGGAGAGAGAAATGAGAGAATAACAATAAAACCAAGATCAGAGAGCTTTTATCTCTAAGCAATCTAATACGACAAAAGACTTGTTAACAAGGCCTGTTACAGTAGCTACTCTCTATTGCCTTCTGATTTAAAGGAGACACAGTTAATGTGCAAGCAGCCTGATATTTCTTTAGAAAGTGTCAGTAAAATTGCCTTTCTGGCCATCAATCATATTAAAATGGTCAGGACCCACTGGCAGGTCCAAATTTGACTACACACACTTCTATAAGCCTGGGATTTTAAGTGGTTAAGGAAGTTACACATTATCCAGATGTAATAGGTAATCAGTTATAAACAGAATGGCTTCCTTAAAAAGTGTTGTTTCCTGCAGTCTGGTCTCTTTCGTGCAGCAGTGTGGAGGAGTGGCCTCGTTTAGCTTCTAGCCTGGTAATAGCAGCTGCCTGATTAAAGTTTTATTTCCTTTATCCCGGACATAAGTGCTGCAAGTGTGTGAAGCCTGCTTAAAGTAATTTTAGTGGCAAGAAAAAAGTGTTTTCTTTAGTGCCCCATGGCTGATACAAGAAACCAGAAAAGGTTTCCTTGGGCTATGAGATGGTGAGCTGTTCAGTGTCTCATCTGAACACGTGTTCTGGTATATCAGAATAAATCTGGAGAAATTAGGAAAAAGAATAGGAATTACTGATTACTAATGATGACTCTTATGCAGTCGTATGCAAAAGTTTTGACCCAGGTGAAATGACATGTTTTGCTTATGTTTTGCAGGGAACAAACTTAAATATGGCTATATTTAACATTGTAAACAACAACAACAATGACAAAACAGAACTATAGAATGTTCTATAACTGTTGCACATGCTACATTTTATGTTTTCCTTTTTGTTAATATGGATTAAACAGTAATTTACAGAAATTAACAGTAATTGTGCATTAAACTGTGCAGGAGTGTGTACTGACTTTCACTTTAAAAAACAACAAAAAATGTAATTTGGGCGCGCCCAAACTTACATACGACTGTACATATTGGTTACATATGAACTCATGTGTGATCTGAGCAACATAGCTGTGTTTTTTTTTTTTTTTAATTAGTCTGGAGTCTGTAAAATGGAGTATGTAACCAGTCTCTCTGGTTTTAATCTGGCCGTCTACAGTTAATGATTAATGCTCAAAGAAACCAGATGCGGTATAGTTGTAGGGGTTGTAAGACCTCTGTTCTCTTTGGTGTTAGAAAAATCACTTCTTCAAAACAGCACATGCTTTTTGAAGAAGGAAGAAGTCAGAACAGAGGGACTTGTTTTGAATAGCATCTGGACCATCTATTAAGAACAGTCATCTAAAAGTCTGAATATGGCCTTAATGCTGATAAATATGTGCTATTATCCCATCCCTTCCATGTACTCACCCACTAATCGTTTCAAATAGGGAACAGTAACAACTATGATTACTCTAATGCTTTTAATTACTATGATGACACTATTATAACATTATTATAATGTTCACAGACATTTTGTTGCCATTTTATAATAGTTATTATTCAGTGACTTTCTGTACTTCATTATTTTGCAATAAGATTTTTGTCTTGTCTTTTGCAGGAACTCCAGAATTCTTTCAAGTTCATAAAACTGTCACTCACTGATATATTGAAATATTTCCCTGTAATTAAGCTTCATGCCTAGTGTAACAAATCACAACTCATTCTTGACTGGATTTAGCATTCTTTGATGTTTCTGTGTTTTTATATCCTAGCTCTGAACTTCAGACAGTGTTTTATGTGGTTTTATGTCATCCCTTGTTTAATGCCTAAAAACACAGCCGGTGGCTTAGGCACAGTTTTAATGTGCCTATTTCAGCCAGGTTTGAAGACTGTATGTTAAATGGCAGAAGCAGACTGGGAGCAAACATATTCGCCTTGAAAAGAGAGCGAAGTATGAGCATGAATATGAATAATATTTCCTTTATGTGTGTGTCTTTTCTTCCTCAGGTGACTTGTCCCCGGTGCAGATGTCCCCTATTTCCCAGTCACAGTTTATCCCTCTGTCTGAGGTGCTATGCTCAGTCATATCTGACATGAATGCAGCTCATATTATGGTCAACCAGGAAGCTCTGATTAAACACATGATGAAGGCCCATCCAGGTACTATAACAAACAAAACATTATAACAGGTTTATAACTGCTCTTATTACCATTGTGGTTAATATAGTTTTTGGTTAAAATAAAAAGACCTAACTTGATATAATTGGCCAAACTATTTCTCAGTCCTTTAGTGTTGACCTTTACTGTCCTTTACTCACTTCTGTGAGCTGATCTGTCTGGATCGGGACATCCGCCTGTATTCATTAAAGTCATATGGTCAAATCAAAATGCACAAATTTTACCAACAGTTTTGTTGTTTATCATTTTTATCTTTGGTGTATTTGTAGAACGTATATCTGGTTGTTTAAATTTGAGCAAAATAGTTTAATAACCTGAAAAAAAAGACTTGAATTGCAGTTCGGTAACCAAAACTATTATCATATGTATATCATCAATATCATCTGTAATATCAATAATAAAAATAGAAAATAACAATAACGCTAATAAGTTGGCAACATTGCAGTCTAGTATAAAAGTAGATGCAAAACACAGCTGGTGTGGAATCATCTAATGATACATCATTTAAATATGTTATTGTAGGAAAATAATCATACTACACCATTAAATCATTACTACACACAACTTAAAAAACTGAAAAAAATAAACTAAAAAATTTTGTTTATTTATTTTAAGTTTGGTCAGTAGGGGGAGCAGTGCTCTCACTGCTTGACCTCAAGCTCAACCTACAAGCACTGCCATTGGCTAATAAGCTGCTGAATGCTGTCCTTTTATTGGCTTTCTACCGAAATGACTGTATGAACTAGGGTGTGTTTCATCTAAATGTTAATGAGGTGCTGGTAAGATGCTGCTTGATTTCACGCACTGAAGCTGATTCATCATTTCCGTTTTATGAATTAGAAACAGAGCAGTTTGTATGTTATTAAATAAAATCTGTGCTCAATTATTTTCTTTCCAATGTTATAGGAATGACCATTCCCACTCAAGACATCCTTTACAATGCTCTGGGCACACTCATTAAAGAGAGAAAAATCTACCACACTGGAGAGGGCTACTTCATTGTTACTCCTCAGACATACTTCATCACCAACAGCATGGCTAAGGAGAAGAACTGGTGGACAAGTGATAGTGATCATCCCTCTCCTCCTCCTGTTACCTACCTGGTAAACAATGAAAGCTGCATGGATGCCTCCACTGAAGCACCCATCATGGCCCACTGTAAGTCCTGTAGTTGCTTCACACCTCAGCCAACAGCTCCTCCATCTGTCCAGGACCAGTCTATCAGTATAAGTGAATGTACTGGGAAAAGCCTCAAGTGGCCCCGAGAACATAAGCCCACTGTCCAGCATCAGTCCACGTCTACTGCAGCAGACTACCAGGCTAGTGAGATCAGCAAGTCCACAGCGACTAGCCGCAAGGACAAGGAAAAGCCGGGACGCAAGTTCGGCCTCAACTTGTTTCGTCGTAACACAGGAAAGAAAGAGAGCAAGCTGAAGAAAGAATATGCCACGTTTTCTGGGCAGTTCCCACCTGAGGAATGGCCAGTCAGAGATGAGGATGATCTTAACAACCTTCCCAGAGATCTGGAACATGCCATCATTAAACGGATCAATCCTGAACTTACCGTGGACAACCTGGTCCGCCATACAGTCCTGATGAAGAAGCTGGAAGAGAAAGCAGAGAGAATGACAAAGGCCTTGACAAGTGACAAAGGCATGTCCACAGAGATCCTGCTCCCTAAGCAGAGACACCATTCATCCAAGGCCGCTGGAAAGAGGCCTGTCTCTAAAGCCACTAGGAGCAAGAGAAGAGGCCCTTCTGCCAAAGAGAAACAGAGGACAAAGAGCAAAGATGTTCCATGTGACAACGACTTAGAGGGAGATGATCTCATTCCATCTCGCCTCAGGCCTGAATTAGTCAAAGATGAAACTGACAATCATGAGGATTGTACTGCTTTGGATACAAAATGCGTCTACAAGAAACGCATAGAGAATCCGTTTCAGTCACTGCCAGGACGGGATGTAGTACCAACCACCAATCACAAAGAACAAAGGAGGAGAGAGGCCAAGATCTCCAGTCGGCGAGAGCGAGCAGGTCATAGGTCCAAATCCTGGGACCCTCATCGGGCGAAAGCGGTCACTGAAGAGACGGAGAAATCCCAGATACCGATGGACCGATCCTGTGAACGGCTCCATGAAAGAGGCCTGAATTTAGAATCCATCATAGATTCTAAAGCCATTAAAGAGCTTCCTGGAGATTACAGTTCTGTTTACCCCGAAAGCAGCACACTGAGGATAGAGGACAAAGTCAAGCTGAAGGACAGCAAAATCAGAGGCAGAGAGTTCAGAGATGGGAGAGGAAAAGAGATTAAACAGAAGGCTTTTCAAGAGGGAGACTTGACAAGTGTTTCTAATCAGAAGCACATAACAGACCTCACTTCACATCCATATGACACAACAGAATTACCCATGTCTTGGCCTAAACCTACAGTTAAGCGTAGACTGTCCCTCCATCTAGTCAACAGTAAGGAAGAATCTGAACACTGTCCTGACCTCTTGTCCTCACATCAGCAGATTAGCAGCCAACAGGTGGTGGACACTGTGGGCACTCTCCGAGACACCAGCCATGCAGACAGAGAAGTGTACACTGATGACGAGCACCGCATTTACCAGAAAGTAGAAAAGGACGATGATGACGGATGTAGCTCGCTCTGCTTGAATGAGGAGTGCATCAGTGAGGTAGTTCACCCTGGCACAGCTCGCTGCCGTGAGCCAGTCTGTCTGGTTGGGGACTGGGACAGCACTTTCATTGACAGGGTTCCACTTCTTCATCAAGACCCCATACGAGCCACACAAAGACAGCATGAATACAGGTGGCAGGCAACTGAGTGCCAGCCTGCTCTGTCCCACCTGCCAACAGATATCATCCCCAACCTAAAGGCTCAGTGTCTGGAAGAGAGGCTTCATGAGCCCAGCCCTGGACACTCTGAACCCATTGAGGCCCTGGACAGCAGCATCTTTGATTACTGTCAGACAAGTGAAAGAGACTCAGACACTGAAACAGTTCTTAAGTCTGCAGATGAAGTAGATGGCCAGTCCAGCCATTGGACCCGTCACCCACAAGTAAAAGACTACAATAAGAGTCAATTTGAGGCACCAGAGGTTGCTGATGACCTTCAGTGTGCAAGCATCAGTCATGGTGACCCCACTGGGGCCTGTATCGTGGAAACAGCAGAACATCAAAGCAACACAGCAGACAGTGGGATTGACTCACCAAGGTCAGTCACTCAGTCACAATCTGAATTCTACACAATGTTTCAATGTTACAAATTCCTACAATTTATTAACTGAAATAAACTGAAAAGAGCCAATGGTCATTTTGTTTAAATCAATGTTTGCTATGTTGTCTTTTGCACTGTGTGTATTAGTAACTTTGCCATATTTGAGTAGAAACATAGAAATCAAAGACCACCTTTCATTTATTTAGTTTCCTGTCAAAACAGCCAAAGTTATATATGTTTCTGGAAATATTTGTGAGGAGATTAGATGTAAGATGTACGTGCATTAAAAAGGAGGTCAAAAGAAAATTAATGAAATTACAAAAAAATGAACAACCATGTAACACCACCAAAACTGTCCCCATCAGATAATGAGTACTTTCATCTTCAAGAGAGACAGGTGAAAACCAAGCTCCACTGTATTTCTGTCCATCTTTCCACTGTGAGAAGACAACTGAATGCTATGAGTCTGAAAGGGTGTGTAGCTGTGAAGAAGCTGTTACAGAGAAAAGGAACTAGACATAAAAGAAATTTTGCACTAGAACACTGGATGCCTGAGATGTGGAGTAAAGTTTTATGGACTGATGAGTCTAAATATGAGATCTTTTGAAGTAACAGAAGGCAGTACTTACGCCACCGAACAATATAAGGCTCTTATAACCATGTGTGCAAACATCAGTCAACCATGGTGAAGGATCATTGAATGTTTGGGGATGTTTAACAACATCTGGAGTTGGTGATCATTACTGATGATACATACAAACAAATTTTAATACATCTTGCAGTACCCTCTGGAAAACATTTGATTGGGAGTGAGATTCATTCTACTACAAGATAAAGACCCCAAGCACACTGCTGAGAAGATTGAGATGTGCTAATCAAACAAAGAAGCTGCTTGTGTTCTCTGAGCAATGGACTGCTCACCCCAGAGTCCAGACCTGAACATCACTAAATGTGTTTGGGATTATTTGGATCATAAACAGCAGAATTTCTTTGAAAAACTGAAATGCAAGTCTCCAGAGAAGAATGGAAACTGTAAAAAAGGCAAAGGTTGGACAGACTAAATACCAAATTATGTATATTATGCTTAGTTGTTGAAGCTTCTCTGTAATGTTCTGTTAGATATGTTTTCTGGTTTTTTCCTTGCACTGAAAAATGAATAACTTGTTCTTAATGGCTGTTTTTAAATACATGAATGGGTGTTTTCTTATTTTGCACAATTCTGTAGTTTCTGGTTAGCTTTACCAAAAATATCTATGAAATGTTCTTGGCATGTATAGAGTAAATGTGGTGATAATATAGTGATGTTATGTTTTTGTTTATTTACAGAACACGCATGAGTCTAACCTCGAGTAACTCGTTGATACTGAAAGGGCTAAAGCAACGTGGTTTCCTACAGAACCTTGAAAAGCTCCACTCCAAAAGCAACGGCATTCATCCTCAGAGTTCACTGCTTCAGCTCACACCTGTCATGAATGTGTGAATCGAGTCAAAACACTGTGCTTTCAGCTCATTCAGATGCCTCTGTATAAATGTGTATATTTATCACTATTACATGTAAATATCTTTTTTTTCACGCAATTCTGAGCAGTACATTCAGGTGGCATTTTTGGGTACTTGGAGTATTGATTTAGGGTTTTATAGTTTTTCTTAAGTGCTATTTTTAGTACCAAGATCCTCTGTTTATAAAGAGGGATGCATTAGTTAAATTAACCTTTTATCCTTCAAATTTAAAATATGAAGATCCATGTATACAGTGAAAAAAATAAACCATGTACTTAAAAGTTTCATGCTCCAGTGTTGTCATGTGTGCTGATTTTTCTCAAGAAGAGGCTACAGAGGCTCAGACACTGCTCAGGAAACATCATGGAAGTACATCAGTGACCCTTTTTAAACATATAGGGTCAGTTTTCCAGACCCAGAATAGGATTAAGAAAGACAAACATATACAATTATAGACTGATGAAAGAGTTTGGGTTTAAATGGGGTGATTTCACATAGCCTCCTGTATAGGAGACATACAGAACCGAGGTTTTTTTTAAATACAATCACAATGTCAGCATGATGTTACAGAATCACATGGGAAAAGTCTTTTTTTTTTAATGTATTTAAGTACAATAGTATTCAGAATTGGATACTGACCCCTGTGGATACTGTGGAACTGTTACACATTTTATATATTTAACGTCCTGTTTATTTTATGCAAAATGTAACATAAGACAATGTCTCGCATCAAAATAAGAGAATTAATGTAAATTCTGTTTTCAAATTACGACTGTGAAACGAAAAAGTCTGCGTTTATAGTAAAAGCTGTAAAGTTAAAGGGGAATTCCACCACATTTTTTTTAATAATTCAGGCGCTGAGGTGTAAACGAGCTCGTGTAAATGGTGTGTGAAAGCCAAGCTGAAATGGCTCTGAAAATTTAAGCGGTTAAATGGGCCATTTAATTCGTCCAGATTGGGTCTGCCTGTCTTTACTGATGGACTCAACCCTAACACTGCTGTTTACATCACCCTTAACTGTCACTGAACAAAATGACTGAAGGACAGACAAAAGCGAGCCTCTGCGAAAGAATGAAGAAGTATGGAGCTCTTGAATGTCGACTTTCAGAAAGGTGGTTGGCTGTCTCAGGTTTCATGGGCCAGGTAGACAGAGAACAACAAAAAAGACTTCCTCCTTTGTTCCCGAATAAACGACATCTGTTTACCACGAATAAACCAGAAACAGTTGAAAATGGTTGTAGTCTGCAGTGCACTGCTGCAGGCAGTCACAGACGAGGGTACCTGACTACTACGGTCGATACGAGCGTTTAGGCTGAGGACTTAGTGCAGCCGACTACTGCTGCTAAATCCTTTTGTCTGAACAGACCTACTGAGCGCCGTCACTGACTCTGCAGCGGGGAGAAGGTGCGCCCTAACGGCTACTGGTGGAAAAACAGGAGCCGCCATTAGCGCCCAGCCGAGGTACCACTGGAGCACTGCTACGAGCGTCTAACCCAAACCTGAGTCCGCATAGTTGAATGAAATGTCCTTTCCTGTCCGATTTTCTCGGTTTTGCCTGTTATGGTGGCCACGTGCCTGTCAGTTTTGCCAGTGTGTTCCGTGAAGACGAGGCTGAAGTCGGCTTCCTGGTCGAATTTTCCCGTTCCACCTTAAATGGTAAAGCAGTTACAATCTGGCGCGAGGCTGGCGAGGCCATTTAAGGTGGAACGGGAAAATTCGAACAGCAAGCTGACGAACAGCTTCGCTCAGTGAGGCGATCGGATAGAAATCAGGCAAACTCGAGAACAGAAATTAGGAAAGGACATTTCATTCAACTGCAGCCTAAGTTGCACATCTAAAACACAATGGGTGGCTATGAAAACTGTAGTAATCAATTGTATTAACCACAAACTGAGCGCGGCTCAGACTCTGCACATGACATTTGCGCAACTCTGAATGAACACATTTTGACTGATCCTTGGGAAGCCTGACAGCAGGCGAGTCTGGATAGTTTATTATGCTCATCATCATTGTTATCGTGTATGCTGAGGCGCCGAGGCGGTAGGTGGCAGAAGTGTGATCGTGTGGTTGAAGTCCTTCCCTTTTGCTCATGCGCTTAAACACGCTTGGCGCCAGAAGCTCTGTGGCGCCAGCGCGTACACACGCACACACACTCGGAGAGAGAGAGAGAGAAAGAGAGAGAGAGGGGGCGAGCGAGCGAGCAAGCAGACCGCAGCCAAGCAGTGCAGACGCAAGCAAGCAAAAAAAAACACCTAGAGGCCGTCTGTTGTCCAAAGCCTGCAAAATAACAGCCCGCATTTTGCGCTTTTAAGCTCGATCTGAGGACAAACAGGTCGGGAAAGTAGGTACGGTTGGTTTCTGTATTCTAATAGTGGACGTGTGGATTAGCTGATTAATCCACGGTTTGAGATGAAATTTTACAATCTAGCTAAGTGGCTAACTAGCGTGCTACGGGGACGAAGTTATTTTGCGATAGGCGTTAGCTTCGTCCCGTTTTTTCACTTTTTCGTCTTAATACGCCGTATCAGTCCTCGCAGATGGTGTAAATTGGTGTTGAATCGTGCTCTCGACCGTGCCAGCAGTAAAATAGCGAGCGCGTCACTAAGCTCCTGTTGGGTAGCAATGGCGGTGGGCAGCTCGTAGTCTGCTAGCTTAGCGAGGTTCACTTTAGCAGGACGGTAGGCCATGTTGTTTCACCGAGCTAAGAATGTGCTATTAGAAATATCATCGTTAGCTAGCATTATCCTCACTGTTTGTAGCGCCCGTTGACTGACTCTAGCTTTCCTTCAGGTTTACCCGCTGTCAGCGATCACACATTTTGTTCGTATTTACAGTTATTTTGATGACAAAAGGCGCGCGTTGTTGGTTATGTAAGATGGGGGACGCCTTTCCCGGGCTTTTCGCGAGGCGTTCGGCCATGGTTAGCCATTTTGGTAGCCATCCATTTTAAGCCTCAGATGTGCTCGTTACTTATTTATTTATATACGCTATGTCCGTTTTATGATCGGTGCAGCTGTCTTTCATTGCTACAGCGACTTTTTTTGTGTCCGGTATGGCCCTCATTGTTTTAATTTGCCCACGGCGCAGCTGTGTGTTGGAGACTAAATGCGTGGCTACATGCCTCTGAAGGGCGGAAGCTAGCGGCGGCCATTTTAGAGCTAGTTAGCTGTTCCAACCTCAGTCGCACAAGATGCCCACCGCTAAAGGCGGCGTAATTCTGAGAACCGGTTCAGTCAGAATCTCCACGACTCAACACACAGGGGTCTAATATCGGACTGACGAACATCAATTAAACATTATTTTAAACTTAAAATCTATTAAAGATAGAATGCGCCTGATGTACTAGCCAAATTGCTAGTTAGCCAGCTAGTTAGCTGATATTGCATGCTTCACGAAGCTAACTAGCAAGCTATTTAGCCAGCTAACTTAGCCAACAACAGTATTCCCAGTGTTTACGTTCAGTATGTGGTTAAACATTGTAGGTTCTGAAGTTGTAGTCTTCAGTAGACTTTAGTGCTGCAGTTATCAAAACTCAAGAGGTGTAACCTCAGATCTGTTACACTTTAAGGCCTCTCAGAAATGTGTAAACTTTTTCGACAGGTATACCTAGCCAGCAAAGTTAGCTTCAATAATAACTGTCCATCGGCTAACACTAGCCAGATTTTAGCTGTACAGAAATCTGCTAACTAGCTTAATGGTAATAGCCAGGTAGCTTTATTTATGTTTACTGTACTTGTGCAAAGTTAGTACTTTGTGCTTTATGCTTTTTTTCAGTTATTGTGCCGTATTTTGCTTGGGCACCTGCTCTGTTGTCTCAGTCAGCAGTACCTTGTACTCTCATGGAAATGTTTTGTTTATGCATCGTCTTGCTCCCTTAGCACATCTATAGTTCAAGTGTTAGCCTCATGGCCAAGCAATTTGCTGTGAACTAGCGTTTTGCTGGTTCAGCTGGAGTTAGCCATAGTCATTGTTTACATTGCTAAATTTAGTTAGTGTTATAGCTGAGTCTGTTTAAGTTTGTTTATTTTAGGTGTTGTAATTCACTTAACTTGAGCTTTTCTTTATTTTTGCCGTGTAACTGATGTTTATTTACAGACCAAGATGTTAAAGTTACTGTGTTTTTGTCTTCAACAGGCAGGATTCTTCCTGGCTCAGGCTGATCAAAAGGCCTCCAGTATCTCTTATTTTGGGTTAGCGGTGCTCGTAGAGCAACGCTAAATTTCACCTAAGCTTTAAAAACGGAAGTCGTCAGACTGGAGTGCGTCCTGATGGCTGAGTCAGAGACTGAGTGTGACACACCAGGCCTCGACACGTTGGGGTCTGAGTGTGTCATAGCACACACACAAGTTGGAGACTTGCACTATGCAGCGGAGACTGAAATCATGACCCAAGAGGACAAGAGGCTTGACCTGGAAGCCATTCATGGAGATCTGGGGGCAGTCACCTGTGTTGATGCAGTAACGGAGACGGACCATGACTACACAAAATCCGAGGTGCATCATGAGCCACATTACTTTACGACTGCGGACATGAAGGGCAATGAGGCCCTGCTTGGTGAAGTGTTGCTGAAGACGGAGATGGGTGGAGCTGGTGCAGAGCATGTGGTAAAGGTTGAATCTGACCATGGAGGAGAGCTTACAGTGGAGTCAGAGAATGGTGTTATCATTCATGAAGCCCATGGCTTGCAGTGCAATGAGTGTGGGGAGATATTCGGCAGCATGACTGATCTGCACCAGCACTTTGAAATCCATAAAGCAACCAACCCCTACATCTGTGTCCACTGTGGCGAGAGCTTTGCTATAGAAGCTAGTCTGAGAGGGCATATGAAGATCCATATGAAAGAGAAGAGCTACGTCCCCACTGGTGTGGATTTGGTTGGTAAAGGTGTCATTGATGCATTCAACCTGAAACCCCACCAGATGATGCACTCCCCTGAAAAGCCACACCGATGCTCTGAATGTGGCAAGAGCTTCGCTGCAGCGATCACGCTCAGAGAGCATATGAAAATGCATTCTGATGACAAGCCCTACAAATGCACCCAATGCAGAAAGAGTTTTGTCCGCAGACGCCATCTAAAGAAACATCAGGAGCTGCATGCTCGTGAGAAGCCATTTAACTGCCCCCAGTGTGGTAAAGGCTTCGCTACGTCTTCTAATTTGAAACAGCACCAGAAGACCCATGCTGGTGATAAGCCACATAGATGCTCCCAGTGTGGCAAGTGTTTTGCTGCAGCAGCCACCTTGAGAGAACATCAGCGAATTCACTCCGGTGAGAAACCCTACAAG